TGTTTCTTCAGGGGTTCCATCATTTTTATATTCTGCTCTATTTTTTTTTATCAGTGTATTCTTTAGAAGCACTTAGTACTTCTTTGATTATAGTTATCACTAAATTTTTTAGTTCCAAAATTATTTCTGATCTGATTTCTTCTATACCTAAAGGTTGTTTCTTTATTGCCAATGCTATTATTTCAGAGATATCTGGTGTGTGATTTCCAGTTTCCTCAGTGCTAGTGTCCTCTGCAATTGTACTGGGTGGACTTGGGGTCTGAGACTGCATTTTGTTCCTTTTCTTTGTCATTTTGTATACTGCTGTCTTCTGACCTTTGGTGTAGAGCTTAGAGTTATTACCTTAGCACCAAGTCTGGATCTACGAAGTTCAGATTCCTCCAGGTGGGTGTTGTTTGGATCTGGCTGCTGTGCTCCACTTCTTTCTGCTGCAGGCGTTAGAGTTGAACCCTTTGTGTCTCTCTGGCAAGATATTCTGTTCTTGAATCAGCTGGGTGGGTCTTGCCTCTAGCCTCTTTGCAGGGAGTTCTGCTAAAGGGTTCTGCGCTGGGCCTGCACTCTGGGTTGAATGAGGATCCACGGGCCACAGGCAGTCTCACTCACTCGCTGGGCTTGCACTCCTGGTCTATTCTTTTATTGCATTTTAAAAACTGAGTTACAATATATGCTAAAGTGGTGGTATACAAAAAATATTTGGGCTGAGTAAATATTTTCTGTTTATAAAGCCCATCTTTACAAATATTGGTATTTTGCAGCTGTGCCAAACTTTTAAAAATCAGCCACAATAATCTTCTTCCTTCCTTCCCTCCTTCCTTCCTTCGTATTTATTTTTTTAGGTATTTGGCACAAGGTCTCACTATGCAGTTTGGACTCTAGTGATCCTCCTGTTTTCAACCTCCCCAGTGCTGGGATTATAGGTGTGTGCCACCACACCCTGTCTTGGTGGCTGGCTCAGTGTGCCCGGGGCCACTGCTGGGAATTGAACTCCAGTCCCTGTGCTTGCCTAAGCAGGTACTTAGTCTGCTGAGCTATCTCACTGCCCCTCATTTTATTTTTTTGAGATAGGGCTTTCACTTGAACTTGAAGTTCAAGCTGGCCTTGAATTTACTGTGTAGCCCAGGCTGGCCTCAAACTTGAAGTAATCTTTGTTCCTTAGTCTCTTGAGTGCTGGGATTACAGGTGTGTGTCACTATGCCTGGCTTAATTTTTTATTTCTGACAAGTGTATACATTTTCAGCACTTCTCTTGCTTATGTTAGCAGTTGGATATTCCTTTTTTTTTTTTTTGCGGTACCACGAGTTGACCTCAGGACCATGTGCTTGCCAGGCATGGATATTCCTTAAGTATAGTCTCTACACTTGGACTAATTGAATATATAGATTAGGCAAAGATAATTTTCCATTTGATAACTTTTTTTTTTTTTTTTTTTTTTTTTTTGCGGAACTGGGGATTGAACTCACGCCCTTGCACTTGCCAGGGAAACACTTATTCTACTGAACCATCTCCCCGGCCCCACCATTTGATAACTTTATTTTTGTTTTTTTGAGACAAGGTCTTACTAGGCTGTCTAAGCTGGCTTTGAGCTCACCTTATAGCCCAGGCTGGCCTCTAACTCACAACAGTCCTGCCTCAGCCTTCTGAGTGCTGGGATTACAGACAGGCATGTGCCACCACACCTGGCTCATTTGACTAACTTTAAAAACTGACCTGAAGGGGCTGGTGAGATGGCTCAGTGGTCTAAAGCACCTACTTAGAACAAGCTTAGCAAAGCATAGGGACCGCGGTTCAATCCCCCAGCACCAAATGCCAGCCAGCCCCACCCCCTGGTGGGTTGAGCTGGCCACACACACACACACACACACACACACATAAATAAACAAAATTTTAAAAACTGACCTGAAATTTGAAATTTTCACCTTTTTGTATAAATCTTACCTGTTCATAACCACTAGGCTAGTGATTCTAAGTTTCTTCCATTGTCATTTGTTATGCATGATATGGTTTAGGCGAGGGATGGCATTTAAAAACACAACAGATTAAACAATTTGGTGTACAATACTTTATATATATGAGGTAAGTATTTACATGCTGAGGTTGTGGGTATTGTAAATAATGAGGTTTTAGTGACTCATCTTACTAGTGACTTTTTCCTTTTTGCTTCTATTGTTTATACAGGTTAGTGGGTTTCATTTTGGCAGATTTGTACATGCACATAATATATTTGTGTTTCATTTTATATATTTATTTTTTTTCCATAAGTTTATCGAGAAACAAATAGCAGTGAGACAGTTTCAAATCAAATTAGTAGGACAGTTTCAATAATTAACACATTGCATATTGTCTTCCTAGTGATTATTTGTTGTACAAGATGCAGACATGATATCCTGTTTACAAACACTATTAGAACAAATCCCTCTATTTATTGAATTAAGAGAATGTAACTATATATTTATCCTAACCACTTTGAATACACAGATACAAAATGGACATTCATCTGTATCCCCTTTTTTTGTTTAGTTCCATCATTTAAATATTATAGGTGTGTGAACCCAGCAAAATATTCCAAAATAGTCCAGTAATCCATAATAGTATTGGGTCTTCCCCATGACTGGCAATGTCAGAAGTTGTTGACCTGAGTCCCCAACAGCTCATCATAATAATATGGCTTTACTTCTTATACTTCATTTGTGTACTTTTCTGTTGGATGTTTAAGACCAAGATAAAGCAAGACCTATGTAACAAGAATTGTAGCTTTTTTATCTGATAAGGCCAGTGAAATCCCCTCTGGATTTATCCTGAAACCCTGTACCTCAGATTGTAGATTCTTTGTTAGTGTCAGCCATGTGGATGAGTCATTGCCATTGCTTGACCAATTTGCTCTCTTATTTTATTTATTTTGTATCAGTGCCTGATCACTTTCGACATGGGGAATTTGTATTTGTACGTAGTATATCTTGCTGCTGCTTTTTTTCCATTCCCCTCCCCTCCCTTTTACCCTTCTCTCCCCATTTTCAAAGCTTTGTTTCCATTTTTTTGCCTTCCCTTCTTTTTTTATCCACCCCGACCCTCCATTTTCCCCTTCCCTCCTGGGCTGGGGAGATGGCTCAATAGAATAAGCACTTCCCTGGCAAACGCAAGGGCCTGAGTTCAATCCCCGGTTCCAACCATCCCTGGTTCCACCAAAAAAAAAAAAAAAAAAAAAAAAAAAAAAAAAAAAAAAAGAATAAATTCTTCTTACTTCCCAGTGTGTCATCCCTTTTGTTCCTTATTTTTTGAGTTTGATATTTTTCAAATATCAAAAAGAAATTGATATTTTTCTTTATATACATTTTAATGTGGTTTGTGGTACTAGGGATTGAACTTGTCCTAGTGTGGTTGGTAAGTATGCTACTACTGAGTTATACCCCTAAGCCTACAATTGTGTCTCACTAGCAGTCTTAGATACTGCACTGGTGGAGAGGGGCTGCCAATAGCTTGGCTGCCAAGTGTTAGTTTAGGTGATGTTCTCAATTATTCTAAAAAATAATGCTATATGTAAAAAGGAGGACCTATGTCACATAGAATATTTTCAGTTGTAATGCTATTATTGTGTTTTATGTGTAATCACTACTGAAGAATTTACATATATTCTTCCAACCAGGTCTGTGAGATAAGTAGTATGTCATCTCCATTTTATACATAAGACTGATATAGAGCTAGCAAGGGTCTCTGAATACACATCATTCTACTTCTTTTTTTTTTTGGCAGAACCGGGGATTGAATTCCGGTTCTTACGCTTGCCAGGCAAGCACTTATTCTACTGAGCCATCTCCCTCATTCTACTTCTAAAGCCTGAGCTTTTTTTTTTCTTTTTTTTTTTTGGTGGCATCAGGTACTGAACTCAGGACCTTGCACTTGCCAGGCAAGTGCTTATTCCACTGAGCTATCCCCAGCCCAAGCCTGGGCTTTTTAACTATTATAATTTAAAGTTGGCAGCTTGTCTTTACTGATTGGGATTGTGATAGAAGATCATAGTATAATTACATTTCTTTTTTTCTTTTTCTTTTTCTTTCTTTTTTTTTTTTTTTTTTGCAGAACCCGGGATTGAATTCAGGCCCTTGCACTTGCCAGGGAAGCGCTTATTCCACTGAGCCATCTCCCTGGCCTTAATTACATTTCTTTTGTTTGCATTTGGGTACTTACTGGTAGTTTTTTAGTAACCTTTTATATACTTTTATCAGGGAAAATACCATTGTTACATATAATAGTTAACGGATTTATTTTAGATGTTTCCGGTACTTTTAGTTAGAACAGACAAATGTGCTGGCTTGTGTTTTGAATTTTTTTTTTTCCCCCAGTAGTAGGAATTGAACCCAGGGTCTTTGCCACTATGGTATATCTTCATCCTCTTTTTTTTTTTTTTTTTTTTTTTTTAGATCTTTTTGAGACCGGGTTTCACTATGTAGTTCAGGCTAGCCTTGAACTTCACATTGTAGTCCAGGCTAGCCTCAAACTGGCTATCCTCCTGCCTCAGCCTCCTGAGTGCTGGGATTACAGGTGTGCACCACTATGTCTGACTCTTTTTTTCTTTATATCCATTTTAATGTGGTTTGTGGTACTAGGGATTGAACTTGGCCCAGTGTGTGGTTGGTGAGTATGCTACTACTGAGTTATACCCCTAACCCTACAATTTTATTTTGGTATATAAAAGCATTTACTCCATAAGATGCTTGGTCCTTGGACATGAGGAAGTTTTTTTTTTTTTTTAAATGAGTTTTTTGTGTTTGAATTTTTTTTTTTTTT